TTTAGTTAATTAGTTGTAAAACAACGGTAGGCAAATAGCTGTTTTACATGCATCTGAAAGTTAAAAAATATATTAAAACTGTTGTATTCTGGGCTCACCATTATGCATAGTCCGAGAAGTGGAACGGCCGCGTATAATATATTTTGTATATTGTATATGTCAATATATTTTAACGTTTTACTCCAATTTTCTTCGTTTGAAAATAAATATATTTGTATCTACTTATGACCGTGTATGTACCTCCCCAAGACTATCACCACCGTAATAGTCTAGCAACATGACGTCACTTCTGAGGTTGAAATAACATTAGTGTGCCGCAGGCATTTTTAATGTGTATTGCTGAAGTATTATGGTAATAGATATCCGAAACATAAGTACCATTCTAAGACAAATTTCTGGGAATAAAATCGAAATCAAAACATATTCCACTTCGTAGTACCTGGTCTGTAAACTCTGAGATACATTTGCAATATTGTCGATAAGATCTAGAGAACGTGACGTATGGGAACTGCAAGTTAAATTGCACTGTTCCATATGTTGCTCATGTAATCTATTACATCTCATGTGTTTGTGGACGCTTACGTCACTACAAGGCTCTGATTAGAGAAAAGATAACATAAATTCACTTTATCTCTGAATTTTTCTCAGTTCCATTTTAGAAACACGTATTATATCGATAATTCAGTCAGTACAGTGACTGGCTACGGACTGAACGGTTCGATCCCCGACGGGGGCAGAGGATTTTTCATCTATCTTCTGCCTCCAGATCGGTTCTGGGGACCACCCAGCCTCCTATCCAACGGGTACCGGGGTCCTTTCCAGGGGGTAAAGCCGGCCGGGGCGTGATGCTCCAATAGTAATTAGGTCGATTATGGTGTCGTCATACTATATAGCTGTTTGTCTTGCCCCTAGTAATATTTTAATAACTAGCTGTCTGTCATGATATTTAATATAAATATCGTGCCGTTTTTGGTCGCCCCAAATTTGTACCTTTTAATGCCCTCAGAGATTAGCTACATGTCCAGAGATTAGCTACCTTCAAAAGTTTCACTTCCCCCATATTCCATCAGTTTAAGTTCCATCCTCACATCTATGCTTAGGTCTACAAAGTTTCCTCTTCCCCTAAGATTTTTAGACGAAAAATTTATATGCATTTTTCATCACGTCCCGTTCATATTACGTACGCCGCAATCCGAAATAATGTATTTTAGAATAAGCGGGTAGGAGAAGTCATCGATTAGGCTTTGTCAGAAACGGACAGACAGAATTTTATATCACGTACACACAGACACGTATTCTAAAGCAGCGCACAGAATATTCTCTCTTACAGATTCTATTTTAGTAACAAAAGGTGTATTCTATTGACTGTAAATAGCACTCCCAGGTCGGAGGTAGTGGCTGCCTGCTGGTTTAATAGAATTCTATACGGTTGAAAAATGTGCTCGCCTAACTATAGAGTACGCACGTTAGATAAACGAGGAGAACATGTCAATATTCACCCTTCCTGGCATTCATGCAGACGTCGGTTGGCCGCCTTCGTAAAATCACTGCAAGTGACGTCATTGCCCCTACTGGCTGGTTTCTTTAATGATTGGAGCACCCTCGTTTCAATATGGCGTTATTCGCTACGGAATGGTTCTCAGTTTACAACTTCGGGAAAGATAAAACGCAGAAGAAGAGGATATTTCTGGCAGAGTTACGAATCTTAACACACACGGCACTGATTCTTCTTCGTAAAATAAGTTGGTACACAGATTGATTTTTAACTTGAAATTTGAAATTTAAACTAATATTTAACTTAGCTTTGTCGCATTCTGAAGCTGTTTTATTGAGTTCCTAGTAACATAAGTACCTTACCTTTTTTTTAGGTTTTGTTAAAGTAATCTGTGCTTAAATAATGAAATTTCTCCTGAAACGTCGGTCAGTATCTACCAGACTAGACGGTGGTACATCCTAGAAGACAGTCGGCCATCTTTATACCTCTAACCTAGTTTAATGCGCCACATTACAACAGACAACATAAAGAAAGCCCCTTAACTAAGAAGAATTGTCATCCACTGAAGTATGCTTGCTTGATATTAGATTAATTAGTAAAACAGAAACCATATGACAAAGCGATCGTTTTCTGATATCTGACGCCACGAAACATGGTAGAGTGAACAGTCAGGTCGTATTATGCGTTAATACATTTGACTTCCAAATAAAGCTTGATGATGTCTTGTCGTCTGCTAAATTTATTCAGGAAGCTGCAGAGAAATTTTAATGTAATATTCATAAATCAGAAATTCAGGCCAAAATTTTTTTTTTCGAGAGGGTTTCTTTTTAAGAGAGAAAAGAGATGTAGGAGAAAGATATGAGGAAATTGACGCAATCTGACAAGAGGAAACATTTTTAGAGCCCCTTGAAGTTTGTTGCTAGGGGTTACAGCTGTTCTTTGTAGATGGGACACGTTAAAAGAGGAGATTTAATAGAGAAAATTTAGTTTGAATATAAGTAACAATGCGAATTATGTGAAACAGACATGAGAGGTAGCACAAGAGAAGAAGGATTCGAAGGAAGATAAAGAAAGGAAAAAATTCGAATGAAAACGCAGAATGGAAAATTGTTATTATGAAGAGTAACGATATATTAATGATATCAAACATTATTCACGAAAAACAAACAGTTACAAAGTTCTTTAAGTCCTCTATAAAAGAGCGTTGGTAATTATAAGTGGACACGGTTTTATGGTGTCCTCGTTCTTCATTTAATAAGTAAATGGCTAGTTGCAACATCCAAGCAAGAAATTATTTTATGTAAACATATGCTTTTATAGTCTTATGAGATACAACATTTCCTACATAGTCTTGGGCCGAACAGAAACGTCTGTGGGAAAAGTAAGTTAATACTTACTTCTCACATTGATCATTTATCACAAGGTTTCGGACCGAAATTCTATTTTGTCACTTTTACATCTGAGAGGCGCAAAACGAAAAAAATACGATAATGATAAAGATTAATAAAAGAAGGTCGAAGACGGAGGCAATGTGACCTCTGAAGCGTTGGTTAACATCGACCATACTACACAACGCAACAACCCAGAAGACAGAAATCTTCATACTCTGATGACGGTGGCAGTATGACCTCTGAAACGTTTGTTAACATCGACCAGACTACACATGGAGGCAGTATGATCTCTGAAACGTTCGTTAACATCTACCAGACTACACAGCGCAACAACCCAGAAGACAGAAATCTTCATACTCTGATGACGGAGGCAGTATGACCTCTGAAACGTTGGTAATCATCGACCAGACTACACGGCGCAACAACCCAGAAGACAGAAATCTTCATACTCATCGCCCTGATGATGGAGGCAGTATGATCTCTGAAACGTTCGTTAACATCTACCAGACTACACAGCGCAACAACCCAGAAGACAGAAATCTTCATACTCTGATGACGGAGGCAGTATGACCTCTGAAACGTTGGTTAACATCGACCATACTACACAGCGCAACAACCCAGAAGACAGAAATCTTCATACTCGCCGCTATGAAAACCTCAAATCTTACTTTATAAGGCATTATAATTTGTAGGTATATTTTGTACCATTGTGTAGTTGTAACCACCAACAGTGACTGCTATTATGTTACTACACCAACTGTCCTTGTCACTGTTGGTAATGAATTATCCGACATCTGCAAACAACAGCGGATCCTTGAGCGAAGGTTTGTTCTCCAGTCGTTGGCCCTGTAGTAGACGCGGTGCTGTAAGCAAATGCCGTTTAGTTTCATTCTGCAGATAAACTGTTGGCAGAGCTGCTTTATTTATAGGTAAGAACTATATCACGTTTGTAGGTACCCCAAATATTTCATTGCCAGTTCTTGAAAATATCGTTGTAGAAGGATATAAAAAAATTTGTATCTACTTGATACCTTAGCTGATATGAACGAGTTTTTATGTGTGTGTTGAATTAAGTGTTTGGCTACGTAAATACAAGCTGAATGAGAATGAATGAATATAGTTTATTTAACGACGGTTTTTTCAGTAACTCAGACTATATAGTATCGAATGAGAGGATTATAGTGAATAATGAATTGGAAAGGATGTGGAAGGAAGCGATCGTGGCCTAATTTAAGGTACTAAGGCCTGGTTGTACTAAGGATAACAGGTATCCGGGCCGAGATTTGAACCCGAAACCTCCCTAATATGAATTATACATAAGGAAAGTTTTCGAAATTATTTAACTTGGGTCCAGAAAAATTCTGTTTTGTAGGAAACTAAAATATAGCCCCGTAAATAATCTTCATAACTACTCATCAAACTCAAATTGGTACACAGGTCACAGTTTGGATTTCTTTACTTTACAACTATTATCAGAAACGCTTTTCAGTTTGATTTATGTCTAGGGCCGAACTGTGGATGAGAGACTTTGTGTTTGACTCCAGTCTTAAGTGAAGAAGATATATTCAGGATGTCTGAGACCAGGGCACAACATTCGGTCTTAAGGTGATGAAATGTTGGATGCTCGAGATAATTACGTTTTGAGGAGCTTCATAATTTTGTATTCTTCCTCACATAATATTAGGGAGATCAAATAAAAGAATGAGTTACATGGAGCTTGTAGGATGACAAATTAATATATAATTTAAGTCCGAAACCGCGAAGGAAATAGACCACTCGGAAGGCCCAAGTGTAGATGGGAGGAGGAAAATATGTTGCACCGTGTAGTCTATATCGATGATGGTAGAGGTAGTAAGCGTCTCTGAAACGTCGAACGATATCTACCAGACTACACGGTGCTACATTTCACAAAACAACTGTTCTACTCTCTGCCGTGAGAAAGTGAAATCTCACAGTGTTTTAAACTAGTAAATATTTTCGGGATTAGAACCTGTTCGTGATTGTGAGGACACAGCTAATGGTTGCTGCCACACCGACATTTATAGATGCTGGCAGCTCACATATGCGCATGTACCTCAGTATTTCTCTAAGCTTTTGTATCGATTTTGGAGGGGAGCTGTCCGGTAGCCATCTTGTGACTAGAGGGTTGCAGCTTGGACAAGCTGCAGGAGAATCTGAAGAAGATATCGCTTCATATACGTAAAAAAAAGAACAAAGGAAAATTTAAACTTCGGTAGAAGTCTAAAAGGATGGATTTTATTGTACGAAAAGAGTGATCGGATCTTTGTCTTAGAAACACAGAGTTAACCAGTGTCTAAGCCGTGAATACATCTGTACAGGTAAGTTTGAAGTTACTCGTAACATGCAAGGGAGTTATTGTGGCATGTGTTCTAAATAAATGTATTTTTCCTTATTTTTTAACAAAAATATATATAGGATAATGGATTATTCCAGGGAAATTGTTTATGTTATACAACTACAGGCTAAGCAATAAGTTACGACATCATAGTTTCAATTCTTGTTGTAAAACAGTGCTACCAAGAATTGTTATTAGTTTTATTACGCTACATTAAATAAAATGAAAGCCTACACAGTATTTATGTGTACTCTGTGTTGTACCGGAGAATCACTTTCGTTTCTATGGCATAATTTTAAATCATATAATGCAAAGGTGTTCCAGATATGTCTTTAACTACATGAAAAATGAAAGAAAAAATATGTTACAAATTATAAGCAAGGACAAAGATATGCTATACTCTATTCATTATATAAACATAACAATGTTACAAAAGCTATTACCAACTTTGGTTTTATTTAAAAAAGAATGAAATCTGTTTGATGCAGTAATATTTACGAATCCGACTACAACATTTATATGAAGCATTAACAAATTCTTGAATGCATTAAACAAATGAGCACTGCGTAAAATACAAAAGTATAATTTTGTGCCTAAAGTTTTAAAGTATTTGTACATAAAATAGCGACTAATTACGTTTTTAGTATAACACTTTTTGCTTAACAAAACTGGTCCCTGTAATAATCCTTATATCACTATATCAAGTACTATGACATTAGTTAAATAGTTGTGAATTTTTCCGATAAAAATATTAGTTTTTGGATGATTAAAATAAAAATGTATACTTTAACCTAAGATTCCCCCCCCCCAATCTTGGATTATCAATTACTCGCTAAATTAAATTTAGCCTATAAACTTAAGTAATGTTTACTCTGACGCTGGGGAGACCTAGACGTAGATGGGAGGATAATCTCAGGCGGGATCTATGGGAGATAGGAGTTGAAGGAAACTGGATTTTGTTGGCCCAGGACAGGGTCCGGTGGAGGGCTTTGGTTAATTCGGTGATGAACCTTCGGGTTCGGTAAGCCATCTAGTTAGTTAGTTAGTTAATGTTTACTCTGATAAAACAGTCGTGTGTCCCTCGTTTTGCAAGATTTAGTGATATGCTTCACACGCCCTAGGCATGCAGGCCACAGATGCCATCTCCTGGTCACCGCTTTATCCAATTGTCATAATAACTTGTAAAATTGACATTGACACTGACATTCAATAAGTCTGATGGCTACAGTTCACAACGTTGGTCACACTCCCTACTCTCATGCCCACCTTCAAATATCTTTACCTATGTTTGAAGATTGTTTAATGGTAGTTGAAATTAAACTGCATATTTTGATTTCGTTAAACGAAATACGGACGTGTTAAACACGCAATTAATTAATACTACACGCAAGGAAGAGACAGATGATTGTTTTTGGGCCTATATTTATAATGAAAGTAATGGTTCCAACGAGTTTTAATCTACTGAAATAATCATCGACTTTTCAAGATTGGATCGATGTAGACCGTTTCAGCTTTCTGGCTGTGTCCAGAAAATTCATATACAACTTTAACATAAAAAACCTTTCCTTATCCGGTCCTCGTTGTAGGTTTAATTTTTACACAACCTGACCGCCTGACATTGCGTGCCTGTCTGCAGTACCGATATTTATTCACATACGCTGTCAGTAGTTCACATCGCCAGCTTGTAGCTTCGTATGATAATGTGATAATTTTACTCCGGAGTGAAACTTCACACACAGCACGCAATTGAGACCTTTGAAACATTTTCCGATGTTTTATTCGTGATTGTCTGGCGTAAAGAACAAAATTTAATACTAATTCTGCCTCATTATCTATCACTGTCATCTCCCATGATAGAATTCTGTTTCTGTTAATATGTCTGAAAAATTAAGGTGTTTTAAGAAACTTGAGACGAGCATTCTATAAAATCTTCAAAACGCGGTTTGTGAAATAAGAAATTGAAGGTCATATCTCATCACGTGTAGACCTCTGATCAGAAACTGCAGAAAACTGTAACGCACGTAAAGATGTACGAAAAGCGACGTTTGATTTGCTTACGCGTTTGAGGGGGCGTTGTCGCTTTCGAGTAGGTGTCAAGGGTTAGGCAGGAGACGTTGAGGACCTGGATGTCATTGATCCGCTAAGTACGAAGCCCCAGTTTCTACGGTGACTAAAACTCTTCAGCAACACTCTCTGTACTCCTGTCATCTTGTGTTTCATTATCATTACGTCAACTGAAAATTTTTACTCCAGACTTCACACGTCTGCTATATTAAAGTCCCATGGCTGTTATGAATTGTGCTTTCAGAACTTCTCTTACTGAACTCTTCATTTCTTGGAAGTTCTTTTTTCAATGAAAGAGGATCTTGAATAATTCAGTCAATAAAGTGACAAACTACGGACTTGACTGGGCTTCGATTCCCAGAAGGGTCCGCATCCAGGTTGGTTCTGGGACCCGCCCAGTCTCATATTCAATGGATACTGATCTCTTTCTTCGGGGCTAAAGCGGCCGGGACGTGAAGCTAGCCATTTACCTCCATCTACTGCCGAGGTCAAGAAATGGTGGACACGACATAGCCGATTACGCGTTTTAGATGTTGGAGGGATGCCCCGAAAACTATAAATATATGTAGTTTATTAGTTGCTAAAGGCGGCAGTGTGTTAGTCTCACAGTTCGCTGGAGGATGTCAGCATGAAAACGAATGTAGATGCGTGTTGTCGTAGGTTTTCCTAGCTGACATCTGATGCTACATCCGAAAAGACTGTGATATTGAATTTTGCTCACTGATGGTGAAGACCAAGTTGGTTATTGTCCGGACGAGGTTTTCTTCCCCGGGTGTCGATGACCAAAGATGAGCCAAGCACTGAGGTACATGGAGTATAGGCCACCGCCTGACTCGTGCGATGGATGGTACGAGCAATGCCCCACTGGAAGTAGGAGGAATGTTCGACCTCGGTATTAGAGAAGAAGGATGCTAACCATTTGACCGCGACATTAGGTGCAGTTAACACGGCTTCGTTAAATAAAGAATAAACACATACTGATAATTGCATTTCATCCAGAGCGATAAAGGAGTACATGTCTATCAAGATCTAATTCAGGCTGCGCAATTTGTGTGCTAGTAATTTTTAAATACCCTATTAATCTGTTGGACGGTGTTACTGAATTTCTGTACTATTCGGTTTAAACACATATTTTACTGAATTATATATTTCTATTTTTAAACTACGGGTAATAGTGCACGAAAGTACAGCTACTGACTCAATGTCACAATTAACTGAATATCGCTACTGCTTCATAGTCTAGAGATCTCGCTTTTAAACCTTCGGCCACCGACTGGCCATCTTCAGGACTGAAGATTGAGACAGTATGTTTCACTGCCTACAAATCTACGCTGCATCACAAACCTGAAGAACAATATTGTTACATTTCCAATATCAAATATACTGTCTATATTTGATCTTTTATCACTTCGTAGAATTTAAGGTTCTCACGTCAGTGAGTACAAAGATGGTTTTCTGCTCGGTTGTAGCGACATGTAGTATGGTAGAAATTGCATTCATCGCTCTGATGATGGAGGTAGTAAGGTCCTCTGAAACGCTGATAAACTTCTGCCAGACTACATGTTGCAACCCAGAAGACAGCCATCTTTTATTACTTCATCCGACATGTTATGTCTGTGCCTTGCAGGCATCTTCAGAACTCTGCGCGTCAATGAATTTAGATGATTAAATGTTTAACTTGAGTTCCACAGAGAATGATAAGTAAATTAACAGTGCGGTGACACAGACTGTATAAAGTACAAAACACAAACTTGTCAAAGCAGAGGTGATTTTGACAACTGTGGTATGGTTATACAACAAACTTAATACATATATTTATTTTTCCAGTCTATACACAAAACTTGTTTTTAAAATAATGTTGTTAAAATTATTTATAACATTTACAATATAAATTGCATTATGTTATATTTTATGGCGCTTTTCTGTGTCGTATAATATTACATCTATCACAGCGCTTTTGATTTTGACGACATGTTTCGATGTTTACCACATCATCTTCAGGCTTATCAATTCATACATTTTTAAAAACTATTGTACATTTTTGTGCATTGAGTTTATTGATTTTTAATTTTCAGTCTTCATCTTGATTTGGAGTATGCATTTTGATGTTCATTATCTGTGAAATTAATTTTTTCAAGTCGTGATTATGGATTTTGACATAGGAAATATAATAACAATTCAAAGAGTGTAAGGATGTAAGTTTTAAACGTAATACAAAATAATAGAACGTAATGAAAGGTAATAAAACATATAACACAAACATGACGCAATTAAGATATATATAAAAAAAACCAAACTTAAGTAATTAAATACCTGATATATTCGGTATGTTTGCTATTTGTTTTCAGAGCAATGGCGCCTTCGACAGCCTTGGGTCAAGAATTAAAGCCAGGAGAGGTGACAGATCAAGGTCAAAACAATGTGACAGTCGGAGAAATTAAACAGCAGATAATAGTCTACAGTTCTACCACAGTTTTACCACATGTTAATGGTAATAAAAGTACTCGTATATGCAGGGCTCGATGAACTTACTCATTTCTTTGCCCATGACAAAAATCAAGGCTGACAAATGGAAAAACTTCATATTTATCATTATTATTCACTCCGACACCTTTTTAATTTCTCAATAGATTCCAAACAAAATTTGGATCTGATGTATATTCGAGAGCTTTTGTTAATGTGACATTGACACATGTCCTCTCTACTTATCTCACAAACTATCATTCACGGTTCACTCCATTAAAGACTTTTTCTTTATTCAAATTCGTTATCTTACAAAAAAAAAACCTTAACCTGTGATAATCTATAACAGTTCTGATTTGCGTTAAAATTATTGGATATGCATTCCATTATTTTATTAATTAATGCATTTATAATTCATTTAATGTGTTTATTAATGGGGTAAGTCTTCATAAGTTATAATAATTTGCAAAGGAAATACATTTTATTTATTGACAGAGGGTAGCACAGTTACCACTGCAGCTGCAGAGGAACAACCTACAGGCACGGCTCTACCAACGAAAAGCACTGCTGAGGAAATTGGTGAGCGACTGATGAAAACTGCCGATACCATGGCTCATGACATGGGAATCCCAACTGCAGCCGTCATTGCCATCGTTATTGGTAAATATATTTTCAGTTTCAGTTTTAGTACTTTGTATTATTGAACTTTCAACTTTCATCTAGTACTGATCCAAAACAATCAAATAGGCAACGTCGAGAAACAAATATTACACAAAAAACTAATTGACTTCCATCACTTGCTACTTATGCCCTTTTGATGCTCACCAATTTATATTATCTGTCATCCGAAAGTCAGATACGATTATTTTCAAAACCATCATCTTCGATTGTCATTTATTTATTGTGCAAAAAAATTTCAGTGCTGTTAAAGAAATACGGTAATGCTTCAGTTTCCAGTAAATTAAGCACCAATATTTACTAATAGATCAATATTAATACGATAAATAAAAAAAAAATAAACCGCCACGGTGGTTTAGCGGTTAGAACGCTGGCCTTGTAATCCTGGGGTCTCGGGTTCGATTCCCGGCGGTGCCCGAATTTATAACTTGTGTTGGGCAAGGCCGTGGTCTAGGCAACACGGAGTTTTCCTCCGGGGGCTTCCCCGGTTTCTCCGTGGCATCCCAACAATTACTCCATTCACACACAGAAGAAGGCAATGGCAAACCACTTCTGGATCATCTGCCAAGAACGTATATGAACAGGTCCCAGTCCGAGAAAAGGATGGAAGGATCCTGTTCATATGGACCTGTCGTCAGACAGAACACTAAATAATAATAAATAAAAATAAAGTTATTGCTCGTATTTTGACTCTGAAACATTACCGAACTTGAAATATCTGTGGCAGGTATTTGCATACTGATTCTGGTTATCTGCGGCTGCTGCGTGTGGCGCTGTTGTCGGAAGAAACGCGGAAAGGATGGCAAGGGAAAGGGTAGAGCTCTTGACCTTAAAGGGGTTAGTTTGATTGGCCCAGCTTACAAAGAAAAGGTATTTTTATAATATTACAATTTGAACAAAGATTTAAAATGTTCACATTACTGATATTTCAATGGAAAAATATTTGGAAACTACGAACTTTACAATTACGAAACTTTCCTTTTATGCACAAAGACTAAAGGAAGTCTTCTGGACTGATGGCTAAGTAGTTTCAAAAAGTGCATGAAATAATTTTATAGCTAATGAAAGTTCTATTGCATGGTATTGCTCATTCATTTTCCCCATCATTTTAAAGAGATTTCAAATTGAAGTGACTGTATGAACAGTTTTTTTTTTGAAATCATTACTATTCAGGTGTGTGCTGGAACAATATTTGTGAACAAGTTTTTTCAAGCTGTTACCTTACCAAAGTGCTTGTAGTATGCACCAATTTTTTAGCACTGCCATAAACTGCTTTGAACACACTAATCCACAAATCCCAAACATCGACAGCCACATCAGGAAAATTAAAACGTTACGTACTGGAATCTCTTTTAATATCTGACGATAAAATGATGATATATGAATTTTACTCATTTTTGAATTTGTCCTAGAATATGCAGTCATCCTCTGTCATTAAAAGATTTCCTTTCTTTCACATCATTTACTTAGATTACTTATTGCATTTTGAGGACAGTTAATCACTTCCTATATATATTCACTTATTTCGATGCTTAGCATGTTATTTTCTAACTGAAGGTATCTTACTCATATAAAGAGCATGAAACTCATAGTTATGGTAAAATTACTTCAAGCACTTTCAATAATGTGAACTCGATGATAAAATTAGCTCTATAGCAATTTAGATGGCTTGTGTTAAAGTTCAGACGTAATCAGTTGCTTGGAAATCAGTCGTAGTTTATATATTTTAGAACAGTGTTATTCAACCTGAGGTACGCGAAGACATTTTAGGGGGTACGTGAAATTTAATTTTTTTTTATGATAAACACTGAATAATCAGTAATGTAATTTATTTAATTTATTTTAGATGTAGATTATATACTATGTATAACTTGAATTATACACCAACAACTTTGAAGGTACAAAGTTGAAGAGAAATTATATCTGGGGGTACGCGAACAAAAAAAGTTCAATACCACTGTTTTAGAACATGTTCACAATCAGTTTACGATGTTAATAAACGTATAGATATATTTGTCTGTTATAATTTATTAATTACTTTATTTTTCATCACACAGCAAACAAAATGCTGTAACGAGTTCACATTAAAGAAAATTAAGCTACATATTTTCTACCTTAGAAAGAAAGTAGTTTTCTCTACAGTATATAGAAACAGATAGTTAAATTGCAATTTAAACGAAGTACGGAAACTGTTCATGCATGTTGTCACTGTTGTGATTTTCAGTGATCAGATTCACGGATTTGTAAATAAATATTAAGTGGTAATGGTGTTTTTATAATTATTTTGAGGTTAAGTTAATAAATATATAAAGAGAAACTTAGTAACCTAGACTTTCTTGATGGACTTTTCGTATGGAATTACTGGTATTCGTTTTAGTAATTTCATGTACGCTGTTGATTTAGTGATTCTTTAATAGAATATCTTCATACAGACTTAAGTTGACAATTAAAGTTTTAAAATACGTACATATCTTATATTATTGACATCCGGTCTTTGTGTTATCAAATATTTATTTACTGAATTTAAATCGTATTATGTTACGAAGTATGAATTTATGCACGAAGGAATTTAGTTTTTAAGAGTTTTTGTAATCGTAGTGATGATCTTATATCACGCATGACTTAGGTTCAACCTGATATGGAGGAACTAACAGAGAACGCTGAAGATGGCGCTGATGAGGCTGAGAGTAAGCAGAGTGAGGTTAAGCTAGGGCGACTGCAGTACAAGGTCAGTTCCTTAGTAAACCTACATGAGTTTGCTGTCCCGTATACAAACACAAAATGAAAATATTTGGTAAGGGAATACATTGCAGAAGCAAGAGAAGGAGAGGATGCTATATTATTTACCAGACAGGCTAAAGAACTTGCTTCATAGCATTTGTATTCAAAGCGTAAAAAAATAATTGTCTTGTCATTCATCAGATATATATACTGTGGGTTTTGCACAAGTCTCTAATTTCACGAGGCATCTGTTTAGCTAATCATAAAATTTCCTTACTTTTATGGAGCCTGGAATTCATTATCATGTTCATAAACCCAACAGTGGCCACAGTTTAATGTCTGCCCCAATACCAAAGCTGGATAATCACCCATTGTTGGCTCCTTGTGACAGTATTAAGCTATTAAATGTGAATACAGTCTGTAGAAAATATAAAAATTAAACAATGATTAAAGAACATTTTTTTTGTCCCTTCTGTATTGTATTTGCTTTCTCATTCCAGTAAATGGTTTAGCTTGTTTCTTGTTTATTACCATTAAATTAGCAAATATAATATTTTAGAAACAACCAGATTGGTCGTGGGGAAGAGGTCAGACTAAGACAGGTACCCTGGTCCTCCAGGTTGGGGGTTGGTCGCAAGGCTAACAACCTTGCACCGTAAAATGGAAGATGTTTCAAAACCTCAACCTCGGACAGATGGACCGAATGGAAGAGGAGAATTGAGGAGGCCACGGACCGGAGAGCCATAGAAGAAGAAGAAGAAGAATGCAAATCTTTATATTATAGCTTATTAAAAAAGTATTGGCAACACCTTGCATTACTGCAGGAGAATCAGCACTAGTTACGACAATAATTCTTCACAGCGACTGGACTTGATAAAATCTTTTTGAGCAGCGAGCCACGTCAGTTACAGGCAAAAGTACATCGCTTCCATCATTGGGATATTACCCTGATGATTGAGGTGGAGACGGCCTCTAAAACATTTGATTTTGGCTTTTTGCCCAAGAAGATTTTCTTTCTCAAAATGTAGGCAGTACTTCTGTGTTACAGAATGTTGAAGTTTCATTGTTAGTTTCCTGTGGGGAACCTGCTGTCGCACAAAGCTTGAGAAAAGTGTTTATGTATTGATCATATCTGCTTATTGGTCTACAAATCACTGAAAAGTGCATGTATTCTTATAGCTGGAGTATGACTTCAATGCAAACAGCCTGTCTGTGACAGTGATTCAGGCTGAAGATCTGCCCGCACTAGATATGGGTGGTACATCGGATCCGTACGTTAAAGTTTATCTTCTTCCTGACAAGAAGAAGAAATTTGAGACTAAAGTTCACCGGAAAACACTAAATCCTGTTTTCAATGAAACCTTTACTTTCAAGGTAAGCTGTAGATGACTCATTAATTATGTGAAATTGATACATATTTAATTAGGTTCTAGGTATTACACTAAGAAATTACTTTAAAAATAAGTGAGTGAGTTAGCGGTATAGATATTGACACCTCTGAATTACTGCCAAGGAAAGTTGTTAGTACAAAAATACATATAATAATTACGAGGAATTTTAACTTTTAAAACCTGAATACACAGCATAAACATAATTTATTTCTAAATTTTTTTGTTGTTTTTACAGAATGTCCCTTACGCAGATGCCATGAACAAAACACTTGTATTTGCCATCTTTGACTTTGATCGCTTTTCAAAGCACGATCAGATTGGCGAGGTGAAATTACCCCTGTGTCAAGTTGACTTGGCACAGACTATTGAGGACTGGCGTGAACTGCAGAGTGTGGAGGGCGAAGGCGGACAGGTAGGAGAAGTTTATCAATAATTAGTGCGGTGTTAATTAATTAAAAACTGGTTTGCATGTATGTTATAGTCAGTTTTAGGCACCTACCTCTGGGTAAGGTAAGAATTCATAACATGAAGAGAATTATTTACCAGTTACACACAAAAATGTAATGACAATTTTCTAACCTTTATCTTATGAATCTAGTAACTGAATCTGCAAGTTGAAAGATTATAATATTATAAAACTAATCAGGATTTAGCATTTTAAATATATTTTAATCAGTAAAAGCTATCATGGCATTTCTTCCATCTTTATCGCACGTGAAACTGTTCAGATCATATATCAAAATCTTTCAGCTTGCTAATTGAATTTTTTATATTTATATACATTTGAACATTTGTAGGTCATCTATTTTCTCTTCTTACATTGAAAATAATTAAGATAATACAAAATAGCCCATATAAATACAGCTTCTAGGACATAACAGTAATCACAGTAGTCTACAACTGCATAGAAAGTGTAAAAAACTGTATCAGTTGCAGAAGTCAGTATCGTTATATTAAGAAATCCTGTACCTTACACTCACACAGAAAAAACAGAAAAAAATTATGATAAAATTAAAAATATTCACTGAATATTTCCGTCCTCTGGGTTGTTGCGCTGTGTAGTCTGGTCGATGTTTACCAACGTTTCATCGCCCTGATGACGGAGGCAGTATGACCTCTAAAACGTTGGTAAACATCTACCAGACTACACAGCGCAACAACCCAGAAGACAGAAATCTTCATACTCACCGCTGTGAAAACCTCAAATCTTACAAAAATATTCACTGTCTGAATTTATATTTGTACATTTCTTATTTACTGAATTGCAGGTATGATACATTATGCTTATGCATTCGCTGAAACATTTAGAAATAAAAAACAAATGCTAATATTCCATTTGTATGTGGAACTTACATATGGAAATAATTTATAAAATATCATAAGCCAACCCTGCAGCATTCTGATAATGTTCTCAGAAGAAAATTCAAAAACACTGAAATGCAATTCCTGGATTCTGCAAACATTTTCTTATAAAGAGCAATCTTCTTAAGGTCAATCCACAAAAAATAAAGATGATGATGACCACTGAATCTTGTCAAGAACAACAAATAAATAAATACTTGACATTTTATTCATGACCCTTTCTCTTCTAAATTTGGCCAAATTTTTTTTTTTAAGACTTTTTCAAGTCATTTATTATATGTACTTAATGGATTAATAGTTTAGTGAGAGAGGTGCAGGACACGTTGACAAAATTATTGCAGTGAAAAGTAAATCAGTCTTAAGCATTCACTAAGCCTGTGAAGTCCAATTGTATGTAGATTCTGATCAGTCATAATAGGAAAAACAGGAAACCATTAACAATAATATAGTTTCAGTAACTACGTTCTACGTCAAAATTATCATGTTTATTCACATTTTATCACAGAATGAAATAAATTTTCATCTTTGCATTATTGTTGAACATGAACAGTTTATAGCTCTAAGCACAACTTTTGATTTATATAAAAGTAAACTACAGCTTAGAGTCTCACATTATGAGGAACTTCAGTAAATTATATAAGCATTTTTTCTTATTTTAAAGACCTTAATTCCTGTTGTGTTCTATAATATAAAATGAAAAATTTGAGTGTTAAAAGTTTCTTGACTTAAAAGTGTGACTTAGTTACATTATTGTCAATTTGAATAACACTTTATCAATCTAGATTAGCGATTATATTGATTATCAAAACTTTAATATTTCTTCTAACATTGTCTTTTTAATTAAAATAATATAAGCCTACAAGCTTGACATAGTTTAAATTCCAAACATTTCTAAATCTGCCTGTCTCTGCATCAGATATTACTTTTACTTTGTCTTATTTTGTAGTTTTATGATTTCTTATAAAGCAGTGATATATATTCATAGATATAATAATTAGAGAGACCACTTATTCAATTTCTACAAAAATCTGAAAATCGTCAGTCAGTAACACTAAAAATGGATTCACATTTCAAGTGAGAAACAACATAATTAATTAAAAACATATAGGTTAGGAAAGTACTATTGGTATTTAAAGATCTGCAACTTATTTTATTACGTTGATTACAGAATTTATTTAAAACATAATCACTGCCATGAGTAACAATAAATTTCACAAGGTGTCAGTGCATGCTTAATGATCAGAATTTTGAAATTTGATAAAATTTATGGAAATGGTGGAAGGATATAGACAGTAATATATAAAATAGAAGATATCTTTCACCTTCTATGCAGTTTGTGGACTACAAAAAAATGTAAATTGTACCATATTATTAAAGGAAGATAATCACAAAACATGAACAAACACATGTTTACAGAATGCTTTGCACTCTCCTGCAACAATTTGCTTCTTTGATGGCCTTGATTATAACCCTGAATTCTACAGTGTAATTCCATTAAGTGAATATTGTATTAATACAAATGACTGCTGATGTACTACCTTAAGTACTATACTTGCATGAGAATGAGAAATATTTCTGAAAAAGACATCCATGTAACACTTCTAGCTGACATGCACATAAGAGTCATAATTTGTCACATTAATTCACATGGTCACGCAATTAGTCACTCATAATTGACAGATAAGAGAATTTCTCAGTCACATCTTACAATTATATTTTTGTGTATTGCATCAAATGTGAAATATATAATTTTGTAAATATCCATATAAATTAATCATAATTAGTCTTAAATGTACAGAAAAATGGGGGTCCGCAGTGGCCGCGCAGTCTGAGGCGAGGGTCTTGTGCTGCTTGGTCGTGGGGACCGTGGGTTCGAATCCCACTCAAGCCATGGATTTTTTTCTGTGTTCTGCTGTCCTGTAAATAGGTAGAGGCCTTGCGACGGGCCGATCCCTCGTCCAAGGAGTCATACCGAATGTCCATAGATCAAGCCAACTAATATAAAAAAAGTTGGGGACCTGTAAAGGGTACCGGAAAATGTATAACCATTGTTAAACCGGGGGGAAAAAAAAGAATGTACAGAAAAATTTGCAAAAGTTCTTGCAAATGTATGTATAATTTATTCCTTGGGTTTTCATCAGTAAATTGTTTCAGATCTGCATGTTTCCCCCTCTTTCTCATTGTTGACAAGTAACAATAATTTAAAAGAGCTCTACACGTGTGCATCGCAGTACATAAAGCTAAACTGTTAATCCCAGAGCTAAAATCTGGCTTTCGCACTGCCATAGTATGGGGTTTAAACCCCCATTTGAAGAATAATAAAGGTTCATTTATAACTGATCAATATCCAAAATGTATATTATAAAGAATACATGCTATGTGAGGAATGTAGAATGTTTAACAAAAATTTAATCTATGTAATACCAAAACAAATCCATTGAATTCTCATGCAAGTACTTAAGGATTGATAACTCTCAGCAAATGTCAATTTGCCTGCATGCTATAAGATTGATGAAACATATATTGCAAGAAAACATAACACAATACAATTAACTCATTTCTGACAAAGTATGTGTATTGTTCTCAGTATCACAGGATGGAAACAGACAAAGCAAACCATCTGTCACAATGTTTGGTGATGCACATTGTATTACACCAAGTATTGTTAAATTGATAGATGGGTTTCTTGAAACAAATACTACAACGATCACACTTTGTTGAACACCTTCTGCAAAGTGCAATGTATATTTCATTTGATTTTGTATGCTGTAGGATTTCTATTTAAATATTATCTATTTTTCTACTAATGCATGCAAATCATATTACATTTAAAAGCATTGTTCTAAAGTTTTGTAAAACAATACATTGATTTGCATGTAATTTTGCAGATCATGCTCCAGTTTTGTTGTGTTAATTTTTAATCAGCATATACAATACATAACAGATAAGAATTTAAAGCTTATTTTCCAAGGGTTCAATTCCAATTAAACATCAAGATTTAGATAACATCTTGTTTAAGAGCTACTAATGTAATATACTTTTCATTTAATAACATTTTAAATATAGATATTAATTATTACAGAATTCTATATATATAATATTCATTCTTAATAATTACTACACATTTTAAATCTAAAAAAATGTATTAAAATAGACATCAAAATTCATTAACTACCATTTTGTTGTAGGTCACATGAAATTACAAGCTGACTCATATTTTGCTTTAATGTTGTAAACAAAATAGCATTTCTGGTAAGAAAAAGTTAATTATGAATGTGTGTTTTTTGTACGTGGTCTGAACAGCAGACCGTAAGTGTAATATCTACATTTCTCATGATGTCTTCAGTATTGAACCCTAGGATGTAATGTCATGTTTTAATTATCATACTCAAATTTAAAATTAGTTACAGCACAAATAAGTTTTGAAACTTAAAGAAGTGATTTTATTCCATTTTATTACTAATTACTGCAATGTTTGACTTGCTTTGCCCTGTTATGTCTCCACTTAGGTTGCATGATACAATATTTCAGCAGTTTTTAGAACATTGTTTGCTGTTTATCTTATGAAAATATTTGACATTTTTATAAGTATATAATATTTAAATATGTTTGTGTAACTATATTTTTTACCACACCCCCAAAAATAATAAATTACCTTTATACTTACGAATGATTATCTCTGTATATACAAGTTTTCGTTCATATTTCTGATATAAGGTGGAAGAATAATACAGTATTATGAGATTTAACCATATATTTTGTATGAAAATTATTTAAGTATATATGGTGACAGATGTTTGTAAATAATATTCATTAAGAGAAATCGACACTGTTGAAAATTGTAACATGCAGTCTGAAAGAAAACCAAATGACTCATATCTAGTGCTTCTCTGCTCTACATTATCACACAGTTCACCCATTTGAAATCATTAGAAAATAATGGCGAAAACAGAACATACTTGTCTGGTACTAACATTTTATACAACTGAGAAGAGAAACTTACATGTACTAAGTGTGTATATACCAAGTCTATACAGTTTAGAAAAAAAAAATCATAAGGTTTATTACATTTAATTAGATAAATATCTAAGTAATAACATTATTTACTAGATTCCTTTATATTTGCTTTAATTTTTTTTCTCAAGATTTAGCTGTTAATTTCTTCTTAACTCCTGCAAAGATAATCGCAAAATTGGACATTCCGTTGTTAATATGTCTCACGTCCCACATTATTTATACAGCATATATTATCACACAAACTTAATAAACATTTCTAAATAAAGAAACAGGAAATAACAGATAAAACAGGATTAAATTTAAATAAATTCAGAAATTATAGCAGACACAAAGCAGAGTCCTAATGGAGTAATGGTAAGGGAATTATACAGCATTTCTTTTTCACCAACGACTACTTGCACATCATAATGGTAAAAGACTTATGTTAAAACTCTTTTAGGAATTGACGTATCACATAAAAAAGCTACGCAAGTTGGTTCAATGCTATTATTAGTTTTGTAAACATACAATTAAAGGTAAATAGAGTTTTAGCATTTAATGTACAAATTTAGTCTATATAAAGTATATATACTGAATTCAGTTTATAAAATTAAGTATAATAATGGAGATTTGAATGATCATATCTTCTATATTTGGGTGTCTAGTGTCTTGATTTACTTGACGTGTCAAGTTGTTTCATTGGACACAAACATATTATTTTGTAAGTTATTTTGGATATCATTTACTAGTTTTCACATAGGTGAATTAACTATGGTAGAGCAAAGTAGTTGATGGATATGAGCCACATGGTCGAAAGTGGAATCCCGCCCGCTCAGGAAGGAATGCAGTTGTCGCAGGCAGTCTCACTCAGCTCGGAACAACGAAACCAAATACGGACCAGTATTCGGTCGTTTGGATCGGAGCAGTTATTCATGTTGATTCTTTCTCTCTCTTTTTCCCCCAAATTTACTCTGCTCTGCTTTTGGCCTCTGTATATGGTTGTGCCCTTCGACTCATTTGCATGCTGCTTCAAAAAATCAAACAAAAACTACACGTAAGTATTTTTGTATCAGAAATTTTTTAGTTTGTTAACAGAAAAATAAATGAAAAATATCAACCAAAAGCATATAAATCCCTATATAGCAATACAATAATTATGTAATTGTATATTATTTAGTATTACATAGCTTGTGTTGCTTTGCATGTGTGTTGTGAGAGTATTTTGTGAAAAGCTTGTAAAGCATGATTTTTTTAAATAAATAAATTTCTATGTACATTAACCAAGCATTGCTCTCAGTTAGAAGCACCTGAGTTATTTTAAAACTATAGATACATTTTTATCTGTTTTGATAAACTATATTTGAAAATTTATCCAATTAATTTAAGATTTGAGGTTCTTACAGTGATGATTATGAAGATGGCTGTCTTCTGGGATATGGCAAAACAGTCTGGTAGATAATGAGTGACATTCAGTACCCTCTTGATAGAGGCAATAAGCTCCTCTGAAATGTTTGTCAGTATGTACCATATATAATGGTTCTTCATCTCAAATGACAGCTATCTTCTTTTCTGATAAAAATTAATTGATAAAAGGCCTAAATTTAATTTAATGTATTTTTGTGTGCGTAAAGAATATTTATAATTGTTATGCCAAGAGTGAAATTACAGAATCTACATTTTATCATGGGTGGAAATTTATTAATCAGAGAATATAATTACATGTTTCTGATGATGAATGTGAAATTGAAACAGTGTAAGTAAATTACAAAATCGTAGTGTCTGTATTACAAAAAAGATTTAAGACAGTACGCAACATCACAAATTCTAATATTATACTTACTTTTTCACTTATTTTGTGTTAGTGGACGTACCTACGGGTATTTGTCATATAGATTGTTAGTTTTGTAATTCTAATAATGGTTTATATACACAACTTCTTTCTAAATGACCTCCCCACTACAAATAATATCATTGATTTCACACTGATAGTGAATTACTGTCTTCGCTGCACCAGATTGAAACAGCATAAATGGCAGGTTCTTTTATGCAGTACAGGGTGCAGTAATTAAAAAAATAGGTAACCTAATTATGAGACAATTATTTTATGCATTCTGCTCATGCTTTTAAGACACAATTGCTTCACTCCCAGAGGAGCATTAAAAACATGGACAGAAAGACAGAAACATACACATCCTCAATTCTGAAAGTTTGTGACGATGGTGCATTGTTGAAGCAAACTGTTTTTTGGACATTATCCATCGTCAAAGATTTTATGGTTTTATTGATTTTATTTTATTTAATCTTGGACAATGGATAATGTCCAGAAAACAGTTTGCTTCAACATACATCCTCTTAGAAGAATGTTACATTAGCGATATTGTCCGGGCTCTTCTTTGTAACTTCCCAGCAAAATATTTTCTTATTAGAAAATGAGTTGTGTTTACTGAAAAAATAAAATATCTAAAGATAAAATTTTTCATACTTTCTGGAAGTTGAATTTTCATTGCAATCATCGATTGAAACACGAGATGTTAATAACATATATGAGAAGTGTTTTATTTTGTGTTTTTACAACAAATCTTTGTCCAGTATATTGTCATGCTTGTATAGTTATTGCTTAAATGGTATCTGATTTATGCAGCTGCATGTAATTTTCTATATGGCTTATTGTCCTGCTTGCATGGCTGTTTGTATGCAGTAAGATAACAAGCCGGTCTTCACTACTGTTCACTGCACTCCGTTCTACACACATAATGTCCTAGAGCTTAGTTCACAAATTATTTCATAAATAACAATACTCTGTGTAATTCCACAAAGGGAATCATCCAGTTTGATCAGTATTACAGCCCTTTGCATCACTTGTTCCCAATGTGTCACAATTTATTTATAAACCAAGATTAATTGTACTAAAATTTTGGTTGAAATACATACTGCAGTGGGGTATTTGGTTTACTTTTGCAAGTTTAACTAATCTGGAGATTAATAAGAATTTCAGGCGTAAGTGATAAGAACACTTCTCTGATATATCATGAGTGAAGTGACTGTTTGGTGCAAGAAAGAGGAATATCAGCAGAGTGCTGTAACATTGATTCCAGCTGCTCAATACCCTTAAACTAATTCTCTCTAGGAAGGCTTTTACCCTTCCCCATTTCAAAAATCAGTGTAGCACTCGATCAATATGCCTCACCTGTGTTGACCTAACCCTGTGTACCATCAGTGTATTGTTGGTAGCATATTGTGGTGATGATGCAAGATACACAGGATATTATTCTCTGCTCATGATAATATTTATGAAATATATTATAAATATTTAAATAAAAATGTCAGTTTAGCCTGTAGATATCTTCTGGAATTTTTTTGTGCTTTATTTCAAGAGGAGTGGTTTACAATAAAAGTCTTGCTCAGAATGCAGCTAATTATTAACAAATGGCAGAATATTAGAAAATATACAGTGCAGTTATGCCATATGTTGCTTAACATTGTTTCAGCATCTTGATTTTTTCTGTGCTCTTTGTCATATCACTTAGGATAAATATGAGAAAAGAGTAAAAATATTCTGTTTACCCTGTCTATATTTCCTTTTAATTTAAGTAGCCTAGTAATGAAATATCATTGCCTTATTTTTACTCTGACTCATACTTATTCTGACTGATGCTAATTTGTAGTTGATGTATGATTGTTCTTTAAAGGATTTGATTCATCCTGTGTGTCTTGTAACAGAAGACTGAACTGAACTCGAATACTGTTTAAAAATAAACAGTTAATGATATTAATTGAATATGGTACAGATTCTGTTGACAGAAACATTTTTCAGAGTATTAATATAGGTTTGTGTCACTCTCTTACATTTGTCTGAACCCCTGTTTTTCTGACCCCCCATGCCAACAAGATTTCTGTAATTATACAAAATTAAGTGTGTGTGTGTCTGCACCAGGGCTGGGCCGGCCTACGTAACGCTTCGACAATTATCCAGGATCAGTCGATGACATAAAAAATAATGTTTTAATAAACATATTTTATTTGCTTAGCTTCATTGAACAGAATCTGAAATAGCCATAAACAAATTCTGATACAATATGACATAGTCTTAAAATGTGGCGATTTATTAACCATAAATTTCTGTCTCAGTGACTGTAAATTGAATACTTTCCATTTTCGTAGTCCACGTGCAGTATCTTGTGCAGAACACAGACAAAATTTCAGCGTGCAAATAAGTACAAAACTTGCCACAGCATATTTGAAAGGAAAATTACACTTGAATGACAAAGAATGTGTTGTATCTATAAAGCTGTTCAGTCCAGTCCTGGTGTGAGTGAAGATTTTAATGTGTGGGCGTGTGTGCATAGTAGTTCTTAAAATTAGCAGTCCAAGCTGGGTGTTGTGAAGTACATAGTAGCCAACAAAGTACATGGTATCCATATATATTCTTAGGCTTGTGATGTCTGGAAAGTCCTCACGCTAATGACAGTTAGTATACGTATGGTACATGTTAGTGTTATTGTCATTGTCTGTGATGATAGTTTTATATAATGCAATGATACAGAATGGAGATTTAAAAATTTGAAAGGGTTTACTTAATAATTACAAATATAGCAAATCATGACAAACAAACACTATGCAAGCATTGCTTAAAGATATGGAAATGTAAGAAACCAAAAGGAATTTTTGTAGGTTTGCACATTGTTTTAAGGCTTCTGATGTATGGTCTCCTAATAGATTAGGAGGAATGTGGAAAAAGTATCAAGGAAATATGAAAGTAATTTATCTATTATAAAAAATCTTTCTGTCATCTTCAGTTTCCTTACTGTCTGTCATTTTCTTTTTGGTTTGGTTCGCATGAGACCATGTGCAGTTTTAAGACATAACAATGTGTATATGCCATTCTTTTGTAGTTAAGCAATTTGCAGTTTAATGAATGAAATGGTTTATATTTTTACCATTGTTTTGTTGCTAAGGACTGAAATGAGTTAGGCCTCTGAAATCTCAGTCAATATGTATCAGACTACATGGCACAATATACCAGATGACAATCATCTTCAACTTTAAAAAAAATTGTTACCAAATGCTGCTCCATGAATAATTATGTTCCACGTAAACTGACCTCTTTTCCTAGTTTCTTGGGAATTCTGATACTTTTCTATTGATACTTTCCTTGATTCCTGTGAGCCAAATTCGTTACTAAATTTGAAAACTATGAAATCATATTGTAGTATAAGATGAGGGTATTCAAAATTACAAATTCTCTTTCATTGTGTAGTTTGAATGTTGAACACTGAGAATCCAAAAAAGGTCTGTAGAAATATATTCTCATGTTTATACAGAAATCTAAATACTGCACTATTGGTGTATGAAGTTTTTGAAAACATGCATGAATCCTGTCAAATATTGTGTGTTTGGAGTTCAAGGCCTTATAAAATAGCCTCACTCATACTAGTTTAGGATAATTAGGAATACCTCTAAAATTACATACTTCATATTTTCTGCCTCAGATTGTGTTACACAGTTGTGTGAATGAATAATTAAATATCCTACATGAGCAAATGGTTTCATAATGAAACATTTCCATATCTTAAACATTTACGTCAGAAGCCAGTAAGTCTTGTGAAATCACTGCCAGCAAATAAAAGTGATCTGACCATAATACAAAAATCATGATCCTTGAAATAACCTTCTTATAAAAATATTACATTATAATATGCTATGTCCTCCTTAAATCATAATCAGAAGTGAATATATTTATGTCCTCAACAAATGTTTCAGAAATTCATCCCATATCCAAAAACAAGAAAAACTACCCATATAGCTAAAAAATAGATGAACCAGTGAATAAAACTGTATGCACCAGTTATTTGTGATAAGTAAAAGGATAAGTAAAGGATAATATTGTTACATATCTATGTATCCATTAATCATAAATTGAGATGTCTACTGGTTCATTATCTATAACTAGAATGCGGTCTGTAGACTGTGGCATAAGTAAATAAAGTAAAGCAGTCCCACTACATACCATGTAGGTCGCTTGGGAGTAGAGGAGGTATAGCTCCTACGCATTCTTAACCTCGGCACTAGATGGGGTGAATGATTAGCATCACGGCCCCGGACGTGCTTTACCCCCAGGAAAGGACCCCGTTACCCATTGGATAGGTGGCTTGGTGGGCCCCAGAGCCAGTCTGGATGCAGAGGGTAGAGGAAAAATTCTCTGTCCCTGTCAGGGATCGAACCCCAGTCTTCTGGCAGACTGTAGCATACAGTCCTAAATTACGCTAAGTGTAGTATGTTATTTAAATTATCATTTGGCACTTAATATCTGACTCATTTCTAACGGACACAATTATAAACATGTATTGTAATTGTAATTTTTTTCAAAAAATTAAAAATCATACATTCTATTATGTACAGTGGCATAAAACACAAATATGAAAACTTGGTTTGTGTTATATTAATGTATATACTTTGAATTATTGTTTTGTTTTGTGTTTTCCAAAATTACTTCGATTGCTGATACTATTCAAGAACCAGCAAAATTTTATACTTGTATATCTGTATGGAAAATACTTATAAAAGTGGATACCATCACATTTCATGATGGAAAGGAAATAAATCTGTACTTGATTGTTACAGGCAAGTGAAGTCCTACGAGATTTTACTGTTTGCTCTGGATTTCACACTTCATCAAGAATTTTATAAATAAAATAGTGAAACAAGTACAGAAATGTTACGTAATGCTTGGTATTTCTGGCAGAAATTAAAGCATGTGAAGCAAGTTTAAATATGAAATTGGAAAATCAAATCAAAATCTAAAAGATTGGATAGCTAAGTAGGTCTGCTGTAATGTAGTATTAAATGTAGTGCAAGATGTAGTTATGTAGTGCTAGTTATATTTGGACAAGTTTGAAGAAGTTTGTTTGATACTACTCAAGTAACAGATAAGTTTATTAAAACACGATTGAGTATAATTATATATTAACAAATAACTAGAATATTGGTGTGAGAAAAATGTGAAAATAACTTTATTATTGTGATACAAATTTTGTTTATAACCTACATGGTATTTTAAACCTTTAACATAACATTAAAAATCATTGAATTATAATGCTGCAGATCAATTAATCAATGTTAAAGATATTAAGTAGGGATGTCCTAGTACAAACACTAGTAATGAATACATGCCATAGAGTCCTCTAGGTTTTTCTGTGCTCAGATCAAAATCCATACTTCTGTTAAAGCCTAGAATTTCACAGGGTGGAAAATACTAGGGCCTAGTCATGATTCGACTCTTAATAAACCTGTTGCCTCAAAATATCCTTCACTTTGATTGGCTGGCAGAGGTCAGGAAGGTCAATAAGACTTGCTGGCTTGATTCACAATGAACAACAAATTAGGTAATGATAACCATATTTTATACTGTGATATAACATTAAAGGTAACCCATTTGACTTGAGAATACTACTTTTCATGAAACAGACTGTTATATTCCTTCTGAAAACATCATAAACTTTCATGGGTAAAGATTTTCATTTCAGAACATTCCTCTGGAATTAAAACATTGATCCCTTATTTATGTTGTATGAGATTAAATTAGATTTAATTCTTAATCTCTAAGTCATCCATTATACATCTTTAATAGATAAATACTTTAGATATTATCTGTAATATTTAGTGGTATTTTTATATCATTAAAATAAGTGTACATGAATGTGCATTAATTTTATTAATTGGAATATAGTATTAAGTTACAAAACAGAACTGTATCCAATATCAAACAAAGTTCTTCAACATTTACCTTCAGCATCTGAGGAGGCAGAGCAGTCTGTAACAAACCTTATTGCTTGTGCAGGAAAACAAGTTGGGTGATATCTGCTTCTCTCTGAGATATGTCCCCACAGCAGGCAAGCTTACTGTTGTAATTCTGGAGGCCAAAAACCTGAAAAAGATGGATGTTGGAGGTCTCTCAGGTTAGAACCATTTTTTTAATCTCAGAAAATAATAATAAGTAGTGATAATTTTTAAATTAATTTAAATTTAATTCTTAGCATGGATTTTAGTGTGTAATAGTGTATAATAAATAGTCTTTTTTGTGTTAAGTTGAAGTAATTTATACTGAAAGAAACAAATTGTGCATATATTTTGTAACGTTAAATTCTATTTATTTTTAATAGATCCTTACGTGAAGATTGCTCTGATGCAGAATGGTAAGAGGCTCAAAAAGAAGAAGACTAGCATCAAGAAATGCACACTAAACCCTTACTACAATGAATCCTTCACATTTGAGGTGCCATTTGAGCAGATCCAGGTAAAGACGCAGTGAATAACAAGTTGGTAGGAATAAAGCAGGATGATACAAACCTGCTTCTTTTGTGCCTCTTACATTTGTTTAAAATATGAAGATGTTTCCGTAACGTAAAATTTGACACTAAGCATCTAACAGCAGACTATGGATCCAGTCATATATACAGAAATAACCTTACAGATTCTTTTACGCTTATTTTCTACAGTGCCATTAACAAACATAGTTCTTAAATAAATTTTTTGTAATTTCAGAAAGTAAACTTGATGGTTACGGTGGTGGACTATGACCGCATTGGTACATCAGAGCCTATTGGTAAGGTGGTACTAGGCTACAATGCAAGTGGGACGGAGTTACGTCATTGGTCCGACATGCTGGCATCTCCTCGCCGGCCAATTGCGCAGTGGCATACTCTCAAAGATCCTGAGGATGACAAGAAAGACTAAGTACCTTCCTCAGAAGGTATGTATACTGAAACTGTGGTGGAAAGCTAGTAGTAAGTAATGCACAGACTCAATATGACGTGACAGCCGACGATCAGTCATATAATTGAGGACTATAAATGCGCGTCACTGACAGAAAAAAAATAAAGATATGATACTAAAGTCACATGTTTAATGGACAGTGAAAAGATAAAGAACAATGCAATCAAGCTGTAGAGCAAGAATTTCAGTACTTCGTTTATTCACACTTTTCATGAGTTATTGTAATACAGATGATGTTATTTCATATTAAGGATGTTCAAATGAAATATAAAATGAAGTCTTAGGCATCAATTTTATTTTTGCTTAACAGATAGTATTGCAGAGTGATTTCATTATTGATACAACTAGTTATTTTTGCTTAACAGATAATATTTCAGAGTGATTTCATTATTGATACAACTATCAGCTTCTGTAGTTCAGACGTTCCTGCCTAATGCCATAATAATTTCTTTGTCCAGTATAAGTTTCTTCACATTTAAATGGACCATTTGGATCATGTGGACCAAATATAATTGGATCTATATTTATATATTTGTATTTTAATGTGATGTTTTAATTTTCACCATGAAACGATGATTAAGCATTGTCTTTTAAGAACATTGTGAAGATAAAGATTGGAGAAGGGCTAATGACTATTGCATTGGGCTGCTTATAGACAGGGGATTTCAATGAGGCATACAATAGACAAATTATAAGCCTCTGCAGTTTGTTAAACCTGATCTCTAATAAGTACTGTATTCATCTCTGGACTTCATGATAAACAGTAGCAGAAGATACGAAGGACAATATTCTATAATATGCAATAACAAAGTCTTACTCTAAATTGTAGTCTTTTACAAAACTATTTCAGACATTTATTTGTTACTAACATGGCAGCTAATCTTATTTCAGGTTTTAATATTTATAAATTATAATCATATTTCATTTTTTTCCAGGGTATTAACATTACTGCATTAAGATGCAGTAAAGTAAATGTAAAGTTAAACAAATGAACAAAAGAACAGAAGGATAACATTCCCTATTCAGTATTTTGTTTGTGCTAACAATAACTGTGTTATAAAAACATTCTGATCTAAAAGTTAAAAAAAAAAATTAGAATGTTCTATTCTTGAAATGAGATAGAGAATATATATCTTAACCTGTTAAATCTTAACCAATGTAATGTCATGTTTTGGAGATGTGTAAAATCCATACATAATCTATTTAAAGCAGACCCATCTTATTTATAAGAAAAAAGTACCTATTTTCAAGTTGTTCAGCTGCTTGCCTTGAACTACTGTTATACTACTGGAAAGTTCAAACACATGTAGGTCTTGGGTAACTGGGAAGTATTGGTTTGTTTGCTATGAAGTGCTGCAGACGTTGTATAAACATTACATTATGAAGTAATCTTCCATGCTGGTAAAAACTTGTTCCAACTCCAAAACAAAAGAAAATTGTGTAATTTGCTACATGATGTAATCAGTTGGTGTTTTTCATATCACATTTTCAAGTCCATTGGGATTTCAAGAGGGCACCAGAGTATATTGAGTAGGAATAGGCTGTTAGGTTATTATGATAAATTAGCAAAGACTTTAATTTTTAAAGTCGGAGACAATAGATCTTTACAAGCATCAATTAGTATTTTTTGACATCAAGATTTGATTTTAGGGTCATTATACTTCCAAAGATTACAAATATGAACTGAGTGATTAAAGCTTGTCTATTATGTCATGTCGCATTTGATCATACGAGCAAGAAATTTAATCAGAAAATATTTTACAAAAACAAGAACTTAGACAATATACTGTATGCATGAACCAAGTACACAATGATGTCATGTAATTACCATATCTTCCCACTGTTTGATTCTAATTTAAATGAGTTTTTGGAAACACTAGCTACAATGACAAGGAAGCATTATTGTTAAGTTTTCCCAATTCTTAATGTATTGTCAGTCTTGTTATGTTTTATCTTACCATCATTGTTTATACTGGTATTGTAAATAGCTTACTGTACAAATAGTGAATGAATTAATGACTAGAAAAGTATGAGTGTTGGGCATTTATTTAATGAATTCATACTCAAAGTTGTAAATCACTTTTACACATATTTAACTTTGGAGGAAACTCCCATGAGAGGACCTGGAAAATTCTGCAAATTCATCTTCAAGATATGGATATTAATTAAGCTATTTTTATTTCTTAGATATGTTTTAATTGACTGAACAGTTTTGTCATTAACAATATCAAAATTGTGTGTAAATAAAATAAAAGTTCATAAAAAGGTTAATTTCAAAAAAATTCAACACATGCCTATTAAACCCATGTGAAAGATTATGATCATATATTTCACACAATACCATTGAAAATAAGCTTATAATACTGATTAATACTAATTATCAATTATCTGTGTAGTAATATTGAGCTGACGAAAGTGTTGCTAAAAATTAAATTCTGTAATTTACCTTTGTTGTAAATAAATGTATATATATTTGTTAATGATGATCTTTTGGATTGTGATGCTGTGTGGACTTCTAGGTATATGATAACGTTTTGGAGAAACATACTGTCTAAATCTTCACTGATGAGAACTTCATTGCCCTGATGATGGAGGCAGCAAGTACCTTTGAAATATCAGTAAACTTGTACCAGACTACACAGTGCTACAACCCAGAAGATAAATATTTTTATACTCCCTGAGTGAGAACTTTACATCCTACTTTTATGTTTATTTTAATTATATAATTTCAAGGCCCTATATTGTTCTTTAAAGAAGAATTAAGCAACTCGAAGAAACATAGATGGTTGCTGCTAATTCAATATTAGAGTTTATTGCATCTTCATCAGTGATCATAATAAGTTCTAACTTTAATACATGTTTCATACTGTCCTTTTATTCTGTCCACATATTATGGTGTCTGTTCCACAATATAGGGACCCAAAACGTCTAAATCTGGCCCTGAATGCTGACAAACATGTTGAGATTAATCATTGCATTGGCACTGCAATATTGCACCAAATTATAATTAATTTTTCAAGTAAAGAATTACATTTACTTATAGAATCTGTAAAATATGATTTTTTTAACATTTTATGTCAGGTGAAAATTACCTATACTATATTGCAGTAATTCTTTAATTTAAAACAAATTTGGTATGCGAATGTATTTTTAATGTAATATAATGTAACACATTTCAATAATGTGTAAAATTAATTATTTGTGTGTTAATTTCTCGATCACATCCATTAAACAAGAATTTTTCCCTGTAGACCTTAAAACATGAAACATTTTTGTCATAATTTTGGTATATTAAAGCAATATTATTACAACAAAGGTAAATTCTAAATTTTTACACAAAAGTTAGATTAAATTATTTCAAATGAATGATGTCTACAACCACATAGAAGTCCAAGATTTTGCTTTTGTTAAAAAAAATTGATGTCTCGCCCAGTATGTATATATATCTGTATGAATGTGTGATAAGTGAATGAATAAATGTGCATGCGTAAGGTTTATATGTATAAAAACTGTAGCATTTCCCTGCCATTTTTAGTTTAACTTGTCTATAATCTCCTCACCATGTATCAGCGAACATTATAAACACAATAATAAAAAAGTCACTTCTGTATTGATAAACATGGTAACTAGAACATACTCAGAATTCAAGTCTGTATTATAAAGTGTGGTGTTTGTATGATGATAGGACTGACTGGAAAATGGTTGCTTAGTTATGGGACTGTTGTTATGAATCAGTGATGGCACTCTGACTAAAGGAAGAAAATAACTTTGATGTGTTTACATTATTCATGTAAATAACATATTGTTATATATTTCTTCATCAAATAAAAGCTACTTAAAAAACATTAATGGTACAGAAGGGCCAATAAAAAATCACTCCTCTAATGTCAGTGAAGACCGTATTCCATTGGATAAAACAGCACAATTTTCTTTACTGATAGTTTATTACAGCATTGTAGGTGGTAATTGTAAGTAGTGTCCAAAGTTTATTACATATTTGAAATAATTTGGTATGTTATCCCTCAAATTTGAGGCAGAAATTGCTGTGGTATCTTAAATGCTTGTTGTGTTCTTCTCTGTAATGCCTGGCATAAAATGTGTTAAATAATCTGCCCTTTTTAGTTTTACCGAGTTCCTCCGTGCCAGAGAATGATATATCCGAAAATTAACCTCATGTATTTCCTCTTCAGTCCTGTTTCACCTCCAACCCAGCTATATTCCATAGGTCTTGGAACAAAGGAATACATATTATAATAAAACTGTAAGTACAATGGGCATTTCAGTGCCCTTTTCAGACTCCTTGAAAGAAGGGGCAAACTTAAGAACATCTTTATTTGACCATTACATATTTTATCTAGACAAAATGAGCGTAAGTTTCTATTCTGTTTAATTTCACCGGCTGTGATTTCATTTACAGTTACTATAGAAGTCACTGATCTATTTGAAGATTTAAGCGAGATGAAACAAAACTAAAATCTGTTCATTACACATTTTACTTTGTGACTTGATTTTTCTTGTCTAAATTTACATAAAATTAATTAGGAATTTTCTACTCAACATAAGAGATAATAATTTAGATAATTTTCATTATTTAGTCTGTCAATCTGGACCACTGTTAAAAGTTTTAGAGATTTCAAATTTTAATTCTTTTTGCAATGTCTTGTATGCAATATAAACAGTGTGTGTGGCAAATAATGAAAATGGTTGAAGAGCTGAAGGAGAGAAATATTACAAGAAATATATCTGAAACATCTGAAATGAAAAATAAAGATTAAAAAGATTTGGACTCGTACATTATGATTTACTCTGGTATAAGTGAAAACTCAGAAGCATCAACAGAACAGATAAAGAAATTCTTGAAAAGAAGTCATTGGGTTACACACAGATTTTGTCCTAAATTTTAAACATCAAAACTAAAAACAGATGAAATTTTAATAAAATGGAAATGTATTTTATTTTGGCTTGTTTAATGATGCTGTCAGTGGCTCATACCATAGTGAATAGTGAATGAAAAAGTTATGGAAGAAAGCAGTTGTGGCCTAATTTAAGGTATTACTCCTCACCTGAAGGGACTGAGGAAATTCAGGAGACACATTAACCAGGATAATTGGTATCCAGACTGAAATTTAAACTATAGCCCTTCCACATTCAAAGCTGGAGTGCTAACCATAATGTTTGGTAATTACAGGAAAAGAAATAATCTCCAATAAGGAAATGTTTCAACACATGCATCTTAGAACAACAAAGTGAGAGACATTTATTTGAAAAGAGAGAAAGTGAATGTATTAACCTATTACAGCTGATACAGGGAAATATTGGCCAGTCTTGATAAGAATGTAAAATGAAGCACTTTGAAATATATTGAAAAGTAAAAAAACAGACATGCAAAAGACATTTACAGTGTAAAAATGAGAGAGCAGGTGTGCAAAACTTACCATCACAAACCACAAGACAAGATTGGGAAAAATTTGTTAAATCAATGAAAAAGTTCTATCAGTGGAACAAAAGTAATTGGATTCAAAATATGAGAGGAATAAGAAATGGAAGAAAATTACTGCTGTAGAGTTAAATAAAAAATTGAGAAGTGAGGTAAATTATATTCCATGTTATTGTACTATCTCAAAACTTGCAATATTCTTTATAAAACCTAAATTATCCTGAAAAATTTCATGCCGTGTTTTTGTGAATCTTCACCAGCCTTTCTTATCTTAGCCTGTTGCAGTCTCAAGCAAGCATTAGTGGGGTTGGCCAAAAGATGTTAATCATTTTGGTTGGTAATGGATAATTTTGAATGAAATTCTCAAGCACGGCATTTCCAGTTAAATTTGTAATTTTGTATGAAATCCGTGTTTGGTTTTATTTAATCCCTTCACTACATTTAAATTTCTTCAGTAATTCAAGTGAGTATAGTTGTTATTCTCATGAGTTTAATATTTTTTGCTATTATTTCTTCAACTTATTTGCATATAGTACAAGCTTCACTGGTCACATTGATTATGTTAAGTTTATAAATTCTAATTCTTGCATGTTTCTAAACCAAACTGGATTTGAAGACTTCAAATTTCTTTGGTAATGTCTTTTTAATGGTCATGTGTGATATAATAAGATAAATATTCAGAACAGTTAATTTATTCAATAATTTTGTTACAAACATAAATTTTAAAATTTGTTGTGTATTAAGATGGCTGTCTTCTGGGTTGTTACACTGCGTAGTCTGGTAGAAGTTTACCGATGTTGCAGATGTCATCGGGCTCCATCATCAGGACAATCATTGCTCTGATGATGGAGGAAGCAAGGACCTCTGAAACGTTGGTAAACATCTACCAGACTACACGGCGCAACAACCCAGACGACAGCCTTCTTCAGACTCACCGTGAAAACCTCAAATCCTACTTTTTTCATATAGTGAATTATTACATCCAATCCAATTCGAGGTTTGTCTTCTAAGTCTGATTGTCATTCTTTGTACAAATGAGTTAGTAAGCGTCTAGTTTTATTTTACTCTTTTGTAATAGGTATTTAATACATGCTTACTCAAGAACACCTACTGCATGTAAACGAAACCTTGGTCTTGCTTACCTGAAAATGTTTTTTAATGTAGCAGTAACATATCCAAAATATTACAGAATGATAATTGTACCCTAGCATGTTCCAAGAAGTGCCACAGAGAATTAGTATATCTAAGTGACTATGGTAACATGTCATTGTCTGTATATATTGAATGCAGTAGATTAGGTCATATGAGAGTGAAATTAGAATGCAAGAAAAGGCATTTAAAAATGTTTACTTTTTAAATGTCGACAGTTAACAAATTTGATGAGAATATTATTTAAATAAATATGGTATTACTGCTGTTTGGAATGTAATCTAAGATGTACCAAAAACTGTCCTTAGTTTGAAAAATTTCAGATGGGCAACAGTTCAGGTTTTAAAGTATTATATACCTAAACAACAAATATTTGTCAGGGAATGAATTGTATGGGGTGCATCATTTTTATAATGAACAATGACTGGGTACAACTGTTCATTATGATGGGTAAGTAGTAATCTGCATAAAGAATTATGCAGCAAAAGTGCTACCGCATAAGTTCTAAAATTAATCTTCTTTGCAGCACAGCCTTTTCCAGCATCTCTGGTCAGTGTCTTTACATTGGATGTCCCAGTTTTCCTTGTTCTGTAATTCTATGTTACTGCAATTTCAATACCCTATTGTCATTCATCCCATGTACATGTTTCATATGTTTCTGTGCATAATCTTGCATTTTTTCTTACTAAATGATAATATATGTAATTCATTTCTTATTTATTCATTGCGTCTGTAATTCAACTTTATAGACAACTTTACCGAGACACTTCATCTGCAGAGCCTGTGTCTGACTGTTGCCCTTTTTCTTCTTTTTGTAACCTAGTTTAGTTTTCAATGCCAAATAAAAGTGCAAAGTTGGCCATAACTTTGTAAAATTGTAATTTGTATCTTTTCGAGTTTAATTATTCAGCGTTCTATTACTGATTTTATATATCAATTTCTTGTGTGTAGTAATGTATTCATAGCCAATATATGACTAAATATTTGTAATGTACCATAACATCTCTTCTGTAGTTATCAATTACTTTTATATCTTATGGGGTTTCTTCTCTTGGCCATAAACTTATACCATTTTGTTTCTGTTTTAAAATGACATGATTGACATAATTGGTACCACGGCCGAGTACTTTGTATTCGGGTGATCGTGGGTTTACATTTCCGGCCCAGAGACTCTCTTGACTGAGCTTTTTTGTGCTTTTCCACAGTTCATCAGGCAAATGTCATGATAATATCTTAAATTATGCATTATGCCACAACAGATTCCTTCTACACCCTTTAAAATTCATTATTCATTAATCATTCTATCATTTGACACTCTATGTCTGAGCTATTGTCATTAAATCAACAATAAGTAAACAAAACATATCTGATATAGATCTGCGATGCTTATGCTCTTTACTGTGAACCAACATTTGGTCAGCTGAAATAGCAGCTTATTTACATCATTAACATTGTGGACTGGAAATCCTATGCATTGTAAACTTTATAGGGCCTATATAGCTGCAGTTCGTTCAATTTCTTTGATTCAGTGCCCTTAATATGATCGTTTTGTTACCACGTACTGTATTACTTTGGATGCATATTTAGGTATTCTTTTACTATTCAAGTACTTTCATTCTACTCAACTTGACACTCTTTTTAGGAAAAATAAAGATTATATGAGTTTAAAGATTACGTTCCCATCTTCTGTGAAAATGCCATGTGTACATGAATACCCTTTTTTAAGCTATTGTGTTCATTTAACAAGTCTGAAATAGTTTGAAGTCTCCTTTTAATAATCACTGAGAAGATATTATAAGCAATACTAATACACTTTTGTCACTATCACTGCATTCTCTGTTTTTAATTATTGATTTTATTAATTACATTTTCTGGGAACTGGTGATTGAATTGTTTTTTGCACATAAGCCATGTAATGATCTTAATTTTAATAAAAATAAACTATCGTGTTTTATAAGTTGAACAGCAATTTCATTCATTCAGAATTATTTATTGATTATTTAATGGTTATGATGTGTGTCTAATTCTTCTTTTGTAGCAAGATCAAATTCATTCAATTTAAATAATACTTTATATTAATAGTTTCTTAAATTATTTGCTATAATCAGAAACTGCCATATATAATTTATAAAATGACGAGAACTGTTATACTGAAGTGTAATGTACCATATTTCTATAAGATATGATTCGATATAATAAAGAAATGACACAATCTTTATTAACGAATTGCCATGGTGTGTACGATAGGGGTCTAAAATATTAATATTAAAACATGCAATCTGCTCTCAGTCATATAATGTGTGGCAACTGTTCTTATAGATGTCCCAGAAGTTCATTAGTGTGTTGGAGTTACCAGTATTTTATTTTATAGCATTAACTGTATTCATTGTCTCTCAAAAGATAAATTGGTTAATATAAAGCAACTTACATCTTTTGTTAAAATATTTGTAATGTATATAAGATAAAACACCAATCATATGTACATGGTGTGTACCAGTGTTAAAACTATGTAGTGTTGAACCTC